GAATAAGTAAGTTAATTTTAGGTACTTTTGTCCCTTTCATTTTATTGGCTTGATGTACCCATGAGCAATGAATATGTCTCCAATTGATGAGAATTGTCTGTGTGTGTGAAGGATGTTTTGTAATTGCATTCCTGGATTTCCTGTGTGTGTCTAGGCAGGTACACTCCAAGTATTGCATACTGACCACAGTTCTTCACAATGGAATTTCTCTATTCTTTCTGCTGGATTTTCTTAGTTGATGTATGAAAATGCTAATGGTTTTCATGGGTTTCTTTTTTGTCCTGCAATTTGGTTGAAAGAATTGTTTTAATGATTTATTTTAGTTGACTCTCTAGGGTTCTCTGGGTAAAGGTTGGTGTTTTCCTTGGTCTCATTGTGTCCTCTTTTTCCTTACAGGAGCTGGAAAGCGGGGTGGTGCACAAGACATCTGAGTGGCAAGGGTAAGGCCCCAAACTGACTGGCAAAGAGAAAAGGAGGGAAGGAGGGGTCGAAAGCTAGAGCAGAGTGAGCACAAGTGACATTCCGTGGGAGAGGGTGGTCAGTGGAGCCAGAAGCCTTGGGTGAGCATGTGCACAGGATGGATCCAAACTGAAGCAGACCTCAGAGAACAGTTGAAGGTACTGAGGCCTGGGAGGGAAATGGTGTGCCCAGGGTCTCGCAGGGAGTGGATGTCAGCAAAGACTTTCAGCCAGGCCTCTGACTCTGTCCTTTGCATTGAGTCATGGTTGTGTTCAGGAGAACCCCTTCAGTTCCATTTCCTGGCCTCTGTTTGACTCCATCCTCCAGTACCTATTCTCCAGCTTGACCTTGACCTTTCCTTTTGTCACTGGCTAGTTCTTCCCAAGAAGCCTTTGAGGAAAAAAGGCCTAAGGAGATGGGTTCCCCAGAGGCCCAGCTGGTTGTGCTGAGGCAGGAGCTGGTGGCCTTGAGCCAGAGCCAGGCTAAGGTGGAGAAAGAATTATGCCTTTGGCCAGAGAAGATGGTGGCCCTGCATAATGAATGAGTCCTCCAGTCCTCCAGTTAGGCCACATGTACCTCCCAATCTCAATTGGGCTTCCTCGACCAAGGGAGGTACTGCCCTCTCACCTGTCCACTGGGCCCTTCCCAAAGATGTAGGTCTATTGGGTGGACTTTATGATATGGACAGGACGTTTGTCGTCTGGCAATTGGGATGATTACAGTCCCTAGAGGATCCAATGAGATAGTTTTTGCAGACTTCAAAGCAGTGAAGAAATGACAGTCTCTTGGTTCACCATCCTTTCCCTGGCACCAAGCTGGCATGTGCTGACCCCAGACCTCAAAGGACACTAGATAACCCAGGCCCCTGTCCAGGCCCTCTTGCTTCCTCATTTCTGCTGTTGCTCAGGTGTTTCCTGAGCTCTTTCTCTGGTGGCATCTAGGTTGAGTCTAAGGTCCCTGGCTGGGTTCAGCAGGTCCTTCATATTAAGCCAGAGGAGGTGCAGGCCCAGCTTCATGACCTGGAGCACAAAATCCTGAGTCATGTGACAGAGGAGCAGGACAAGTCTGTGAGCAAAGCTGCTTCCATCTGAGGCTGACCCTTCTGAAAAAGGAGTGACTATTGGGATGACGAAGGAGGTGAGGCCTGCCCCACTGGCTGTTCTCCTGGCTGGGGTCACTGGTTTGCCCTGAGAGGAGCCTGCCAGGAGGGAGGGGAAACCCTGGCAGACCAGGTAGCTCAGTTGCCCGGCCCCGCATGAACTGGGCCAGCCCTGCAGGTGGCCTGTCCCCTGAGTGGTGCATGCTTGTCTTTTAGGAAGTACACCAGATAATACAGCAGGCACTGAAAGAATACAGTGAAGATCGCATTGGGCTGGTGGATTATGCCCTGGAGTCCTCAGGTAGGTGGCCTGCAGAAAGCCAGAGGGCTCAGGACAAGAGGGATTGGAAAATCTGGATGGCCCTTAGGAGAGAGGAGGAATTAACAAATTAAGATGTCCCTTATTGGCCAGGTCAGTTAGGAGGGCTGATGCCTGGGTACCTCCTCACCTTGAGGGTTGCCTTAGGCCATCTCTGTCTCCTCCCAGACCTTTGGGTGCCTCTCTCCCCACTTCTCTCCTTGTTGCTCTTTCAGGGGCCAGCATTGTCAGTAGCCACTCGTCAGAGACCTATGGCATCAGGACGGAGTGGTTTGGCATCCATTTTGACGCTATTTCCAGTCCCCAAGAGTCATCTTCCAGGTAGCGCTGAACAAAGATCCCCCAGCTTGGCTCTCTATGTGCCATCTCCCACCCTCCTCTGTGGGGGTTGTGCTCTTAAGGCAGAGTGGCCCCACGATTGGGACCTATTCCATCTGCTGCCTCCTTTCACCAGACTTGTCTTGTGCCCACAGCCAGAAGTCCACCCTGGCAACTGCTGGGCATTCAGGGGCCGCCAGGGCTTTGTCGTGGTGCGCTTGTCTGCCCACATCCAGCTCACTGCTGTCACCTTGGAGACCTGTCCCCAACCGCTGACATCCCCAGTTCCCCAGAGGACTTTGTCATCACGGTAAGTACGTGAGCCTCGCAGCTCTCCTTTCTAGAGTGTGAGAAAGTAATTTCTTAACAGCAGCATTGCCAGGTGAGGAATGCAAGGGTATGCCAATTTTACACGTGTTGCATTGAGGCTGGTCTCCTGACTCCAGACCCAGCCCTTCTGCTCCTCCCCCTCTTAGTCAAGAGGAGCCAAGAAAGGACAATGACAGCAGTCAGAACAGCCAAGATTACCATGCTACCTTAGGGTCCTTTTTGACAGCAAGTTGCCTCCCTGGCCAGGTGTGTCATGGTGGAGCTGTTCGGGGATGGTGATCACCATCCCCTATATAGTCACCCTCAGGGCAGAATAGGAGCATCCACCTGAGGAGATTTTGAGAGAAAAGAGGGAGGCAGAGCAGAAGGTGTTAAATGGAGGGAAGGGAGCCACTTTAGGATCCCAATCCAGATTCAGATGAAGAAATTGAGGCTCACATGCTGAAGGGGTTTGTGCCAAGACATTCAGCAGCTTTGGGAAGAGGCTGAGAAGAAGGCCAAGGCCTTGGAGGGCAAAGGCTCTGTCCATTGAAGTAGTGAGAGAGATTCTAGCAGGTGAGGGGATTAAGGAAGGCAATATCAAGGTGGATTGTGTTTGCTCCTCTTCCCCCTCCCCAGTATTTCCTGCTTTGTCTGCCTCCTCCTGTCCCTGCAGAGACTCATTTGGATTCTTGTCCTACCAGCATTACCTTTCCCGCACCCCACACCCAGCCATCCATTTGTCCATCCCTCCATTCCCCTTGTTTTACCTTCTGTGCAGGGGCTCAGTGAAAATTCTCAGGTGGAGGGGGTGGCCCTTGGGCACTTCACTTATGATAATGCTGGGGAGACCATTCAGACGTTCTATTTTCAGTTATGGAGGGCCAGTCCCACTACAGTCCCCCAGTAACCCAGGAAGGCTGGTGATCTGGAGGGCAGGATCACTGGTCACAGGGATGCTGTGGTTTTGCAGTGGTTGCAGTGGGAGCCAGGGTCTCGTGGGTCTGATTGGAAACTGAAGGATAAGCTTGGGGCTGAATTCAGCCACTGCTCTTTGAAGGAAGCTTGGGGCACAAGGGCTGTGCGGGCAGGGCACCCACCAAGGGATCTCAGGCCTTCCTCACCCCACTCTCTTCTTCCCACAGGGCAACAACACAGCCCCATACAAGCTGATAGAGCTGCAAATCATCAGCAACTGGGGTAACCATCAGTATACCTGTATTTACCACTTCAGGGTCTATGGGAAGCATGCCACTTAGCCCCTGCCCACCCTGTTGCCTTCACCCCTTCCTCCTTCAGCCACCAGCAAGCAGCTCTCCCACCTCCTCCTCCCTGTCCCCGCTTAATCTCTTCTGGGCACTGTGCCTTCTGGGGAGAGAGACAAAACCTCTGTGGAGCCCTCTTGCCCCACCAGGCCCACTTAGATATGGATAAGACAACCAGCTGGGCCTTTGTTTCCGACAAGGCCAACAACCTGGATTTGGGGGAAGTTTTACGACAAGATCACCTACAGTGGCATTTAGAAACAGCATGTCAGTATGGGGTGTAGCCATGGCTAGGTAGCCCCTTGTACCCACTGGGGCTTCATTTAGACTGGACTGGAAGGTTTCTAGTGTGTGGAAAGGCAGTATTATTAGATAGAGCGTGAGTCATGTGTTAGATAGTGCTGAAAGGGAAGAGCGCTCAGAGTGCAGCCAGGGGCCATGGGGAGAGGGCCTTCCCTTATGCTACTGCTACCAGGTTTCTCCTGCCTACCCTCAGGGGCCCAGACACTCTCCTTCTCCACTTTAGCCATGCCTTCTTCAACCTCCTGACATGGAGCTCAGTCACTGTGGTCTCTCCTTTGGGACCATCAGCTTCAGTTTTTATGGCTATGGTGGGGAGGAGACTGGCCAAGAGCCTGTGGAGAAGGGCCCTTCCCTGGCCTCTTGCAGGGTGGGCATTGAACCAAACCTCCCCTCTATCCCCGAGGTACACCTGACATGGCCCCGGTGCCTCTGCAGGGAAAGGGGGCATTGGAGGCTCATCAGCCTCTTACTCTGACCTCTGAATCTAGTTCCTTTTGGGCTTGGTTAACATATGGGCAGGTGTTAAGTTTAGGAGGATAGGGTTTGGGGTGGGGGGAGATTTTTGGAGTTAAGGCTGGTATGCAAGAGGGAGGGCAAATTTTTTGGCCCTCTGGGCCCGAGATTATTATGTATATAGATAGAGATATTTCTGTTTGTACATAGATGTAGTTCACAGCTCTTTTTTTTATCAAGTAGAACAGCTAAGGGCTTCATTCCTGGGTGCCTCCCTGTAGGCACAGGGTTAAATTCACTGTAGCCCCAGCTTGGAGGATGGTGGGTGCACCCATCAAGCACTGATGCCCACAATGTCATCGCAGCCCTTTCTGCCTCTTACCATCACGGAGGAAGGCAGCTGTTCACACCACAGGGCTGGCCACTGGTTCCTGAAGCCAGCATAGGGGCCCACTCTTTTGTAGGTTTCAGGGACCAGCAGCAGTAGGTGTGGGGTGACCCCAGCTGCCCCTCTGCCCAGTCTTCTCCCTCTGCTTTTGTCTCCTCCCCAGGAAGCTGGCATCTCAGCAGTCCCACAGAGGAACCTCCAGATGGAGGCTTAGCTCTTCCCCATCACAAAGATTCCTGTTTAATTCTCTAGCATTATTTTGTAATGGATAGATTCTGATTCATGTCCAGGCAAAACTCAATTTTCTGTTGGATCTACGTTTGCTTCTCATGTACCCTCACAGGGATGTTGCTCTTGAAGCCACCTGCTTGAGTAGTGGGGTAAAAGGGGCAGGATTTTGGTGGAAATCGTATGTTCAAAGGGCAGCTTCTCTTCTGAGTGAGTCCTGCGGGGGGAGTGCCCTGGGCAGTAGAGGGAGCCAAGCCCAAGCCCTGTCTTGGAGAATGAGAGCTGGAGAGGGGGTTAGAGGATTCCAAGGAGGTGGAGCATTTGCCCTAGATCACGGGTATCCACTGGCAAAGTCAGAATGGAAAGGGCCCCTGGGGCATCAGAGTCTTGATTCCCAGACAAGAGCAGGCTGCTGGGAAATTGTTAGAAGGAAGCAAGTGCCTTGCAGATGGGAATTCCCCATCCCGAGGCTGGAATCTCAGTATCAGAGCATCCCCTCAGGACAGACTGTTCCTTAGGCTGTTGAAAATATTCTTCCTTTAGAGCAGAATTGTGGCCAGCCATAGCTTGACCACACGGGCCCCAGGATGCCTGTAGGAGAGCCAGACTGAAGCAGAAGGAACTCCGTGGAGAGTAAAACAGAAACAGAAGGAGGCCTCCAGAAACTGCTAAGTTTCATGTCACCCCATGTGGAGGGAGCATAAATAGAGCTAGGGGCCCCAAGGTCCTCCCATCACTGTACAAAGGTTCTGAGCCCAAATCTCTCTAAACTTCCAAGCCACATGAAAAGATTTCTTGTGGCACTTCAGACACTCCCACTAATATCAACTCCGAATGAATTGGGGTTGAATACAGTACTTTTGGGGCTGACAGGTTGAGGTTAGGGAGAATGCCCTTTCCCTTCCCTGTTCACTCATTTAATTTAACCCCTTAACTATTTCCAAGTCCACCTGGCATCTGTGACTCAGTCAAAGGATTTGCTAAAATCTGAGCTCACTTGGCAGCATTTCTCTGATCTAAGGGAAAATTAGCTGCTCAAAGGGCTCTGTTTTTCAAGGGTTCTGTGATCCTGGCAGCCTAGGCAACGAAGGCATCTTTTTGTCCCATACACTGCTGCCCTCATGCCATGCAAGCAAACCACTTCACTTACCTGAGGAGGAGAAGTGCTCACAGTCTGATCAAACACTTTTCCCACTGAGGTTGCAAATGCCTTTCTTCATGAGGCGGTTCCCACCTACACGATGGACCAGTGTACCTTCTATAAAGTACTGAATGGGAAGTGAGGCTAATAGACCTCTGCCTCCTAAAAAGACAATGGCAAAAGGATTGCAAGCTAACCTGGTTCCTACAGTTATCCCAAGACAATCCACTCCATCTAGTAGGCCTAGAGTAGGCCTTCGTGGGTCTTCAATGCAGAGACCCTATAGACCTCTGGGGGGCATCCCAGCTTAGCAGGTGTGACCTACATGAAACTCCAGAGAAGGAGACTGACAATAACAGTCACCTAGGTGGGAAGAGAACCAGGTGAGGGTTGAGTCACAAAAATGAAGGGAGAAAAGAGTGTGAAGGACAAGAGGGCCCTGGGCTCCATCCTGGGCCAGCTTCTGTTCTCCCTCCATTCTACTTCACTTGGTGGTCTCATCAGCTCCCACGGATTTCATGACTCTCTCTATGCTGATGCTTCGCACATCTACTTATTCTTCCTGAACCTCCTTGTTGACCTTTAGTCTTTCATCTCTGGCTGCTTTTTCAATGTCACAAATTGGATGTCCAGTAGATATCTCCAACTCAACATGTGAAAAAGAGATCTCATTATCTTCCCCCTAAACTTACCCCTCCTCCCTTCCCCATTACTTTGGAGGGCACTACCATCTTCCAGGCCCTCCAACAATGGCATGATCCTGGACTGATACTATCTCTCAACTCCCCACGTCCAACCTCTTGCCAAGGATTGTCCAGTTTCCCTCTACACAATTTCTTGCAGATTTTACCTTGGCAGCACCTCTCATCAGTTTCACCTCTGCAGTATCTGCCA